ACACAGTAAAAAGGTACCCTCCTGAAACAGAGACCAGGTTTCACCAGACCTTAGATTGCAGGAACTTTGGTTTTAGACTGTCAGCCTCTGGAAAATAAATTTTTCAGCCTCTATAAAAATAAATTCTGTTCCTTACCAATTACTTGGTGCAGGGGTTTCATTATAGCACTACAAATGGAATGAAGTGAGTTCAGTTAGTATTGTAGCAAGACTTACTAAACAAGTATGAAAAAAGTATCCTAGTTGGGGTACAGATAAGATTCCAAAATATAGCAGACAATAAAATAATTAAACAAGGTGGAAGTTTGATTTTTTTCACAAATACAATGATTCAAGAGTGTCACAGTTCATGATGTGTACATAACTGTGCTCTGTAAGGTTGTCCAGGGATTCTATGAAGGTTTATCTAAAGTGCATCCCCCCAAATTCTCATGTGTGTAGAAGGTAATAGGATCATGGAAATGCAATACTCAGCAGTGGACCAACTGATGAATCCCCAGCTAATTGTGCTATCAGAGGGTGAGGCCTGGTTGGAGGTGAATCACCATGAATAGTCTGAAAGGTGTGTAAATCTCTCCTCTACCACTCCTTTCTCTCTGCTATCTCATTACCACAGAATTCAGCAGCTCTCCTCCACTAAGGTCTGTGTGCTATACAGGCTTCTGCCTTGGATCCTGCTAAAAATGGACTGAAACCATGAGTGAAAAAATGCCTGTCTTCCTTTAAGTCCTGAGTGTTGAGGCAGTGACATGGCTACTGTTAGGGGATTTCAGCCAGATTTCTGTTGAGAATCAAGAGTGAAGAGCTCAACAGGATGACTTAAAATGTTTTGAGTTTGGCCAAAAAAGGAATTTCCAGTAAAGCTGTGGCTGCAAAGATACAGCAGAGGAGATCTTAACTACTGCGGAGGAGTAGGAGAATAAAAAAAAGATAGCCAGAGGGCATCACAAGAATCAGCAGGACTCCACCCTTACAGCCTCCAAATCTCAAAAATTAAGGACTTTACTTTGAGAAGAAATTACACAGCACCATGTTCCAGAATGCCAGTGACCCAGGGAGGTTGTTCCTTCAGATTTGGTCCATAGCTCTCAACCTCTACAGCCAGAAGGGAAGAAAGCCTGGCTACTGCTCCAGCTGGCAGCAGACCTTGCTATCACTCACACAGGGCTGGTTTTAGGCACAAGCAGAATACAATAGTTGTGTACCAGAAAGGCTTATACCCAGATTTCAGAAGAAGGCTTAACAGGGCAGGCAGTGTGACACTGACAGGACAGTGAAGCTGTGAGTGTGAAGGCACAGATATAATGGAGACCCCAAAAGTTGTAGAAGCCAGTAGTGTGAATCAAGTAAGGAAAAATGCAGGGAGAGAGCAGAGCAGCCTAAGAGAGGATTCATGGGCGCTACAATCACTGGTAGTGCCGTACTGGCAGGACCACCCAGTTCCTCTGGAGTTCACAACTTGCCACAGATTGCTTGGGATGCTGTACCTGCAACTACGAGATTTAATGTTTGCTCTGCTGGGTTTTGGTATTGCTCTGTTCCCATTCCTTGCTACTTCCTTGTTTGTAACTTTTGAATGGGAATTTTTAACTTGTAACATTGAATGTTGGAACAATTTTTTCATTTTACAGGGACTCACAACTAAGAGTTTGCCTTAGATCTCAGACGCAATTGGTACTCAGGCTTTTAAGCAATGCAGAAACTGTTAGAACTTTGGCAACTGTTAGAGATGGACTAAATTCCTATTGAATAAAGGTATGTGCATTAATCTTTTGGCAGAATGTTACAGCCTCTGTCTGTCTGTGTCTCTCTCACTCTCTCTCTATTCATATATACGATATATATGACTGTGTGAATTCTCTGAAAAGCTCTAATTAGTGAATATTATGTTAAAATTACATTTTTTCTTTTTAAAAAACATCTTATTGAGATACAAAATTGGTATGTTTTGTACAAGCACATTTGACATAAACAGCTGAGTGGGTTTAAACTTTTGTACTGTACTATGAAATCATCAGTGCAATCAGGTCATGAATGTACGGGTCCTCGAGGTCATCTACAGTCTCTTATCTGCTCCTCTCCTGACTGTCCTCTGTCTCCAAGTAACAATGATGTAGTTCCTGTCACTCCACCTGTGTCTGCATTTCTTAGATTAGTATACAAGTGATAACATACAGTATGTATCCATCTTAGTCTGGCATCTTCTCTTCAGATAATTATTTTCAGATTCATCAATTAGTTCCTTGTATCAGTAGTTACTTTCTATTTTTTATTCTTTAGTATATTCAAACATCTAAATTTTTAACAATAGTTCATTTATACATTCAAAGATTAACATTTGGGTTTGGATTTTGGACATTGCAGATAAAGCTACTATATATATTTACTTATGTGTCTTTGTATTCATTGAAATGCTCTTCTTCTTGCTTGAGAAAATATTTATTTTTAGGAAAAATAATTGGAATACATAGTATTTGTAATTCAAATTTTAAAAACTACCAAACTATATTAAAAAGTGGTTATAGAATGTGAGAGGTCCAGCAGTATTACCCTTTCTTTGAGTTTTTCTCTGTGACTCTTTACCTAGCTTGTTGACTAAGAGTAGTGAAAATAATTTTTTTTAGCAAATATTGGATTTACAATTAGGTTCCTAAATTTATATGAATGCAGTATTTACTTGCTCATTTTAAAATTCAAATTGTATTTCATGAAACTTTAACTGCTGTTTTATTTAGGGACCAAATTCAAGAATATAATATGTATTCTGTTGCTAGAAAGTGAGAGATCTTTAAAAGCAAATTGGAGAAGCAGTTGTCTCTCTGTAATATTTTCTGTTCATTTCTTATGTGTTTAAAATTGAATTCAAAACTTGTGTGTTTTCTCTTTCCCTCTCAGGAGCCACCAGATGACAATGCTGGTACTTTTCACTGCTGCCCATGGAGATCCTCCAAGATTCCCCAACACTGCAATTTATAACTCAGGCAGGCTGCTAATGCAAATGCCACACATTGTTTGTGGGACAGCAGCGGGACTGTGGATGCCACAGACCCGTCTGTGTCTATAGAAAGTCTGTTATTCTGAGCAATCGCTTTCTTCATGGCAGGCTCGCAGTATGAGAGACAATATGTGAGTCACCACCAGGTCAACTTGGCATCAGTGTGAACATGCAGCAGCTAAGGCTGTGAGCTAGTTTCTGGGAACAGGAATCACCGTGCAGAGGGTTCCCCTCTCGAGTCAAAAGCAGCTATTCAAGAAGACTGTGGAATTCGTAAGTCTTTGCTGAGAACATGCCCTTTGAGTTTCTATTTTTGGAGTTGAACTTTATGAATTACTGAAAAAAGAATTTTCATTAATTGTAGTGGTCATAAGGATTTCTTTTGCCTAACTGTCTACACATTGGTTTCTAAGCACCATCAAATGTATACATCTCTCAAAATGTCTCTTTTTGCCATGTAAATATCTTTTTCTGAACATAAATACCAGGTTTTTGTTCTTTTATTCTTTTGAATTTGTTTTGGTTTGGGACATTAAAATGCTTTAAATTTGATCAAGATGAGAGTAACAAGTCTCTATTAATGAAGATGACAGCATTTCTACAGTGACCTTTCTTTAAAAATACAAAAACTCAAATACCAGGGCCTACATAATTATAAAGGCCTCTGCTAGATATTCAATTACTAACACCTTACAGTGACTTATATGCCAGGTATTGAGACTATATGAGACATATATACGCATTTAACTAGAAAAGAGAGATAGTCATCTAAGCACAAATCAATAGTACCAGAAACATACAGAAAACCACAGCAGAGATTCCCAGCCATCTTTTCTGCTTATCACATATGAAGGAGAAGTCAGAATCCTATCAGTATGCATTGCTCTGAGGACAAAGATGACAAGTATAGCGGTGGAGAGAGCGGCATACACAAAAAAATGAGGTGCACAGAAATGTCTAAAACTCACTCCCATGGTCAGGGGATGGTCACATGGTCAGGAGGTAGTAGAGGGGAAGACTGCTAACTGTGGAGATCCGGAACAATAACAATTGTGACACATCTTATGAGTCAGGTAAAGAGCATGTGGTTAACTAAGCTAAATGAGAACCATGGAAATATTTTATCCAAGATATAAAGATACTTCTGTTTTCAAGTTTCTATCAAGTTGTAGTATGGAGACCATTTTTTGAGAAGACTGTGTACAGCTGGGACACGGATATAACTGCACTACAGTTTCATAGGGACAGTATCAATTTAAGTATTAATTTAATGTTGCTTTACATCCCAGAGGAAACAATTCTGAGACCAAGCCCAGTTGTGTTCTTCATCATGGCCAAAACTGTCTTTGGAAATAAGATAAGAAGATATAAGAATATTAGCTCCACAGAGGAAACTCTGAGATTACCTTATGACACAGTATTGTTGGTCCTCTCCATAGGTGACGAGACAGAAGGTTCAGTTACCCTAGGAGAGGTGAACAGAATGGCAAAACACTACCATTCGCTCTAAAATCTCTTGACTGAACATTGCACCTCACAGAAACGACTCCGGCACACTATTGGAAGAAATTTGTAGTGCTTGACTATTCCTCATCAGAAAGATGGTAAACATTTCTACCTCATAAGGCTGATGTAAGAATTATAGAAAATATCCACAAGGGGAGCAGAATACTTCCCTTTTATAATGGATCTTTCATAAGATTTCAACTATTTGGATAAATTAGTGTTCAAATTCTGTACATTATTCTTCTGAAAGAGGTCTTGCACCGCTGGAACATCTGGGATAAGGATGAAAGGGAATGGAGGAGGGAAGAGATGAGAGCAAGGAGGAATCAGTGTTATGGCTCACATTTCACAGAATTGAGTGAACTTTCTCACACTCTGGAACGTCAGCTAGCTGGAGTTCCAGTGGAGAGAGAGCTGGCACAGATAAGGCTCTGTGGAGAGCCATGGTGGCTGTGAGGATAGTGACTGTCAGAGAAGACTAGCAGGCCTCTGAGGAAGACAGCAGGGGGTGAAAGCACCAACAGAGAGAAGATAAACTCCAGAGACTTAGAAATAAGGGATAAAATCCCAAGCTATCTAATCACCAGCCTTGCTGACAGACAACTATCATGTTCCTACACAAAAGAACCCAACCCCTCAGAGGAAGTGCATGTGGAAGCTGGGAAGCCCTCTGTGGCAGCAGAGGTTGAAGAAACCCGCTTTAGGAATTTCCTGAGGCAGATAAACTGAAGGACAGACTCTGCCAGACAGTCCGCAGCAGCAAGCCCTCCCTAAACATGCAAATTTGACATGAGAAGGTCATCTGGCTAAACTGGAGATTTTTCTCCCTTTTCATAGTTTTCATTTTTTCTGCAAAAATTCAGTTTTTCTGGGTCCATATCTTCCTATGGAAGACAAGTCTCTTGCTTACCTGGAAACTCAATATAAATTTATAGACTGTTTGTTTATTCTTATATCCAGCCAATGGACTGGACTCCTTATGCTGATTTCCAGAGACAACAGTGAAAAACTGATTTTGATCTATGTACAGTATAGTCTAGTAAAAGAGCTATCAAACTCTAAGTCACACAGCTAGTTACTTAATCTTCACTGAAATAAATGGAGAGGCACTGTGAATGTACACCACTGTAACCACTATTGCCTTTAGTCTGTGAGCAGTGGGGAATCATTGATTAAAAGTCAGGCCTACCATAATTTGCTTTTTGAGGAATTGCCAGGATCAGCAAAGTTTTCTTTTCAGGTATTTATTATCTGAAATTTCCTTTGGACTTACAATGGGCTATGCCACCGGTCAACAGTAGCACTCCTTCCCCTGGGATCTGCAAATACTCCTGCATGGCAGTGCGAACGGCTGTCCCCAGATATTGCTTCCCAAAGAAACACACGAGGCAGACAGGACTTAGATCATCCGTTACCAAAAAACAAGGCCACTGCCCATCCTTTGGGCCTATTGTGTGTACTTTCTTTTTGTGGTAAGGATAAATTCACCGTCTTCAGTTTTGCCACGGGACCTAGTCATTATGTGTTTAGGGACCTCTGTTTAGAATTCTGGTTTCTGCTAGATACTGAAGTATACCAACATAGTATTAAATCAATAAAAGAAAAATACTCAAATGCTGCCCTGAAACTACCTGAAAACCATTGTGTTAAAGGCTGAGCTTTGTGGCCAGGTGTGATGTGCACACCTGTAATCCAGATATTCAGGAGGCAGAGGCAGGAACACCACAAGCTCGAGGCCATCTTGGATTGCACAGTGAACTCAAGACCAGCCTGAGCTGCATAGTAAGATGCTGCCTCAAAAAAATTGAGATTTATAAAATTAATTTAAACAATATTAAGCTTATACTGTGAGAGAGAACAAAAGGTAACACAAAAATCAAAATTAAGCTAGCCTCCTTTTGAAATTTCAGAATAGCTTTCGATTAAAATTAAGCCTGTTAGTCATCACGGATTGAGAGGAAAATTCATTTATGTTTATATAACCACTTTAATATGCATGTGTACTATATACAAAAATGTCAGTTTTAGATAGTAATTACAGTTGTCATAGAAAAACAAGAGAGAGGATCATTGGGCTTAGAATCTGTTGAAATTTAGAGAAACCAAATTTTCTGAGATTTTGATTATTCATGGAAAGAAAACTTTCATTGTCAACAGATATATACAATCATCTTTTATAAAATTAACTGGGAAAACAAAATTTTTGCTGTGTCACCTAATTTCTAAATCAGAACAGGAAAAGTCTGAAATGTCCAAGAAAAAGGAATAGAAAAAGAAAGACTAAACTTTCCAAAGCTGCTTGGTATATAACTGTATTTCCCTGAAACTAAAAATAGAACCAGGTTTTACATTAATCTTCATGCTAAAAGATGCAATAGAGCTTATTTTCAGGGACTTTTTCTTCATGTATAGTAATCCACATTTAATTATTTATTCATATAAAAGCTACTTGTATTTATGTGCAAAAGTTTACATTTACTCAAATGCAGTCATGTCATCTTCTTCTAGAACTTCATCATAACTCTTCAAACTCTGAATTCTAACCTGAATTTCTTAGGACTCCATTTCCCGCAGAACCACTGGTTCCAATCTCTCAGGTCCACCAATAGGACTCTCCTTACATACGCATTTTTCATCCATGTAGTCTGCTCCCAGTGCATTGGCAGCACGGCTGTTAGTGATTTTATCCCATGAAATCTTCACCACAGGCATGATGTCTTGCGGGCTGGGCTTCATGAAGTTTCTGTTAAATCAGTGTTAACTGGACATTTATGAGACAGGAGTGCCTATAAAAATGATGACAATTAATGATAGTTCACACAAGACAAACCAATTTGCAGAAACAAAAATTCAGAAAAGGTTTCTGAATTTTACACCGGTGCATTGTGTTCCTCATCCCACATGACACCCTGAACCACAACAATTCATTTTAAACCTGCCAATTTCCTTTCACTGGCCAGTGTGCATGGTGTTCCTGCATTGTGTGTGTGCTGGACTGGTCACTCAGCCAGGAGACTTCAGTTTGTCTGTTCACATAGGCATGTGCTTCTTGTCCAAAAGATCCTGCTTACAAATACTTAATTTTAATTCCTTTTTAAGTATTAAAACATAATGTCTTATTTGTATTATTTATAGATTAATATTATTTTAAAATTCAATATGTCTGCTGTATCTTGCAATAGATCCACTGGTAGCAAAATGCACCTACCTGGCCGGTGAGCTTACCCAGCACTTATTTTAGAAGGAGGACTTATATTCCATGCATCCTGAAGTGTCATGGTAGGGCTTGTCTTCTGGTTAGGTTCCATTTTTAGAGAAATACAATAGATACACTCAAACTTTTTTATTAAGTAACTTTATTGGTATACTTGAAACATACTTAATTTTATCATAGGAACTTTGTACTTGTACATGACTTACCTCAAATCCTCTTTTTCCCTATCCCTTTAGTGTCCCTTATTCCCTCTTGCCTTCTGATTTACACAAGCTTTCTTTCCACTTTTTGTTACCTTTCCTTTCTTTCATCCTCTCCCTCCCAATTTCCCTTTCTAAGTATTTTCTTGATATTACATAATATATATAGCATATACTATATTCCTTATGTACACTTTTGGTGAAAAAAGTGAAAAATGCAACATTTACACATGGGTATTCAACTTACTTCACTTGAGTATGATCTTAGAGTTCCATCCATTCACCTAGAAACGTCTTGGGTTTACCCTCCTTTGTGGCTGAGTAGCACTTCATTGAATAAAAGAGAACACATCTTTATCTGTTCCTCAGTTGATGGACATTTGGGCTGTTTCCAAGGTTTAGCTACTACAAACTGTGCCGCTGTAAACATGGGTGTGCATATATCACAGTGGTATGATGTTTTTAACTCTTTTGGAATTATACCAAGAAGGGGAAGAGCTGGGTCAAGTGGAACCTCTGGTTTTAACTTTTTGAGGACTCTCCACACTGGTTCCCAGGGTTTCACCAGTCAGCGCTCCTACAGTAGTGGAGTTCCCATTTCCCCGCAGTCCTACCGCTGTTTGTTACTGATTGATTTCTTGATAAATTCCATTCTTCCTAGGTGAGATGGAATCTCAGCATTGTTCTTTTTTACATCTCTCAAATGACCAGTGATGTTGAACCTTTTTTGTATATGTGTTTGAGATTTGTTCTTCTTCTGAGAAGTGTCAGTTCTTTTCAGATGCCCATTTTAGTATTGACTCTTTAAATCTGAGAGATCTGATTTCTTTTTTAGTTCTTTATATATTCCAGCTATTAGTCCCTAGGCTGAGGAAAAGCCAGTAATTTTTTTTTCCATTCTGTGGGTTGTCTTTTTGCTCTGTTGATGATTTCTTTTGCTGTGAAAAAGCTTTATAATAAGATAAGATCCTAGTTGTTTATTCTTTTTAATATTTCCCTTGCAATCAGGGTTTTGTAAAGCCTTTGCCTACATCTATGTAGTCAAGAGTTCTACATATTCTCACTTCCAAGAGATTTAATATTTGGTCCACTTTCACTTTAGTTTAGTGCAAGGTAGGAGACATGGATTTAATTTTTGTTTTCAGCATGCTGAAAGCCAGTTTTTTAACACCATTTATTTAAGATGCTATTTTTCTTCCAGGGAGAGTGTTTAGCCCTTTGTTGAAGATAAACTGGCTGAGTGTGTTTGGAGTTGTTTCTGCATCTTCAAGCCTGTCCACTCATTCTGGGGTCTTACGGCCAATAGCATGCTGCTTTAAGACAATAGCTTTTCAGTATAATTTAAAGTCATAGACTGTGATGCCTCTTGACTTACCTTTGTTGCTCATAATTATTTTTGCTGTTCTAAGTTTCTTCTCATTCCAAATGAATTTTAGGGTTTTTCTCTCTAATTTTTTGATGTGTGTTACTGGTATTTTGATTAGAATTGCATTAAATTGTATAACATTTTTGGGAGTATGGCCATTTTCATTATGTTGGCTCTTCTTACCCAAAAACATTTTATCCTCTTCAATATCCTTTATCACAGTACAGTACTTTTCAATATAAAGATCTTTTACTTCCTCTGTTAGCTTGATTCCTACGTATTTCAAACCACTATTCTTGGGGCAACCTTCACCACCACCTGTCCTGCTCCCCCACCCCTGCCACCATGGCCGCTAACTCTGTGCTTCTGTGCTGGTACAGAGACAGCCCAAGGCTAGTCTGTTGACTTCAATCTCCTCTCCAGGAGAAATGCTAACCTCCCACTCATGGCTGCACCCTTGCTTAAATCCCATGTGCTGGAATCCTGTCTGAACCACTGGCTATGGGGCAGAAAGGATCATGCCCTTCCATTCAGTACCTTGACCCTCTCCTGAACATTAAAACTAAGCATATTATGTAAACAACTGTTACAAATGTTAAGCATTACAACACAGGGATTCTAAACAAAATCAAAAGGTAAATACAAGCTATACTCCTGTTTTCTCATAGAAAATTCTCTAAATTTTGATACAGGAAAATAAAATCACAAATATAGACAATATATTTGGGTTCTGTGATGCTATTAATTTGGTTTTGGAGTTCAACAGATTAAAACAGGACTGAAGACAAGACGATACAAAGTTCCTTCTGCATTCTTGGCCAGTTACAATGGTACCTCAGTTCACAAATTTAGTTTGTTCCATGATTCTGGGAAAACATGGCCACGTTCACTTTCATGTGGGTGAGGTTACCCCTATCGTGCTCATCACTGGATGCAGAGATTGCACACAGAAACAAAATGTTGCCAAATGTTTCTGTTTACAAGCCACACTGTTCACAAACATAAGCATCATGAACTGAGGTGCCGCTCCATTATGCTCTGCAGTATGAGACTCAAGGACCCCTAGTGGAGATGGACAGTGGTGAGACCGGAAGAAGACCAGAGATTTTAAAAGGTCACAGCTCTGAGAGAAAGGAAATCAATTCATTTTAATTTCAATCTAATGTTATGGCATTTGACCTACGAACTGCAGCCCTTCGGATGGTGTTGGGTTGTGGAGGAGCTGTTAATGACTTAAAAGAGCTCCTATTTCCCACCACTCCTTAGACCAGAAATGCTATTCTGAAGATGCCACAGCTGGTAGACACTGGGGAAGAACTATGCCACATGGGTCATATAAGCAGGTGGCGGAGCCATTCTCCCATGAACCCTATTGCAAGGAGGGATCCAGTCAGAACAGTTGGTCAAGGCTGCGGTTGTCCCATTTCTGACATCTTCATATTGCCTAAGCAGTACACAAGAGAGCACAGCAGCTCACCAGCAAGTCCCACCGCTAGTCTGGTGGACCTGGAAGCTGAGCTATGATGCAACACAACCTATCGCTGACTCTGAGCTGCACAGTCTACACCAAGTGGTAGTAGTAGTGGCAGCCAGATGGTGGTACCAGACGTCCCTCCCCACAGAACTGAGCACAGTGTGCTTGCTTTGTGGGAAGGACCCACGAGGGGCAGTGAAGCACAAGTGTCCAACTCTTCAAGCTCCTCCACAGGCAGTTTCTGCAAAGGGAGTTGTCAGACAAACCCCCAAAGCCTGGCAACAATTCTATGTTTGCTAAAAGGTACAGTTTTTCTGTGTATTAGACCACAGAACAAGGGATGCCCCACACAACTGTCAAAATTCACAGCAATTAAATACACATTTTGAAAGCTGGGTATAATTCTAAGACAGGCAGATCAATCAGAAGTTAACGAGGACACAAGAGAAAGTAATAGCCTCACACCTTAATCATTCATAGTGCTGCGGATGACAGGCAGTCATCAAGCTAGGAAATTCCCTGAACAGGGAAAACAGTCATCAAGCTAATATGTTCAGAGTGAAAAGATGAAAATGTCTCCTGTTTGGGGAATTTGATGACAATATCTCATCGATCATCAATAGAATATCTATTCTATCAAACATCGTACTGACTGTTCTGGGCAGGATAACTAGACAAGAAAAAGTTGAAAGAAAAGGAAACTAAATTCAAAAGAAAGAAGTAGGCTGGGGACTAGCTAAAAATAGAGCATTTTCCTAGCTTGCACACTAAAATTTAAAACAAAAAAGGCAGAAGTAATGTTGCAGATAGCATGATCTTAGAACCATAAAATGGAATCTATTAAGTCTAAGAAAACCAATAAGAGAAATAGCAAAAATTTAGAATACAAGACAAACACTGAAATGATCAACTGTATATTCATGACTACTAGTAAATGAATAGTCTGAAAGAAATATTGAGGATAGTTCCACTAATAATATCAGGAAACAAATAGTTCTAAATCTAAGAAAATACATGCAAGATTTTTCACTGAATACTAATTGATGCAGTTGAAGGAAACTAAAGAAAATCTAAATATACAAAAGATATCTCATGTCCATGGATTGAAGAATTACTAATGTCTTTGAAGAAATGTTTCCATTTAATGCCAACTACAGTTACAGTCACAGAGTCAATGCAGTCTGTTATTTTTATGTCCATAAGGTTTATAATGGTTTCTTCTGTTTCATTTTTATTACTTGTCTGTTCTGTTTTGCTTTCTCAGCCTGGCCTGATAGTTTTCATGTTCATTTATATTAAAAGGATGAGCTTTGCTTGCATTTTTTTATTCTTTCTTGTTAATGGTGTTTGTATTTTATTAATAGCTACTCTTAAACTTTATAATTTTTCTGCTTCTTTTTGATTTTTTGTTCATTTCTTAGTTTCTAAAATAGGAAGGTTAAACTGTGAATTGAATCTCTTCCTAAGGTTCCCAAAACACCACATTAAGTCTAAGACAGAAATTTTTATGTGCTTTCTTTTTATTTTTCTTT